GGAGGAAGAACCAGAGGGCGAGGCAGAGGGCAGGGCTGCCCCCGAGGCTACGGGCATGGAGGGCCGGCCCAAGATGTCGTTGATGCCGTGTGGGGTGGCTGCAGAGAGCTGCTGCGGGGGGCTGCCCAGGGACGAGAGCCCCCCCCCAGCTGGGGGCTTCAGGCCGCCTGGGTTGTGGGCACCCAAAGGCGGGGAGGGCGACGAGGAGGAGGACGAGGAGGAGGACGAGGAGGGGGGCCCGGTGGGCAGCGGGGGGTACGCGGCGGGGTACAGCGGGGTCTTCATCTCGGCCATGCTGTGCAGGGCGGCCAGGGGTGGGCTGCTGAGCAGGAACGCGCTCTGCCGGGTGCCCTCCATGGCCCCCACCGCTAACATCCCACGGCCAGGCCGGAGCCGGCAGCGGCGCGAGCGCGAGCGAGGAGTCGCTCCGCGCACCCGGAGGCGACCTGCCAACTGGGCCAAGAACGCCGCCGCCAAGAGTTGCTCTTGGAGCGGCGCAGCAGAAATGTCCAAAGCCGCCACGCGGGAAGCGGTGGCTCGCGGAGACTAGGCGGAGTCCGGGTGGGTCTGGCTGTCCTTTCGCTCCGAGAGTCCTGGATCCAATCCCTGGCTCCTCTCCCTTCCTCACTTGTCCTCGCCGCTCAAAGTGCGCCACTTCTCATCTTCTCCCCACCTCCCCCACCTCGCGAAATAAGCAAAACAAAACCCGGGCCGGCCCCTGAGAGTTTGTAACAAAGTTAAGAGTCACCGAACCTCCCCTTTGATGTTGGAGGGTGGGGGCTGGCTCGCCGTCTTCGGGGAGGCTCCAAGGACGCCGGGTTCCGCCCGTGGCTCTCCTCTAGGCTTACTCGGAGGCTCTGCGCTTTCGGCCGAGAGGCTGATTCGCACTCGGCGCTCGCTGCGCGCCGGAGGGAGCGCACACAGCCCGGGGGAGGATCTCGCCTCTGGGCGTGCTTCCTCCGCCGCCGCTGCCCGGGGCTACTGCGCCAGAAAGGGCAGTGTCACCGATCCCCGCGCTCTCGGCTCGGGCGCGCCGACCCTCCTTCCCCTCTGGGCCACGGGGCACTAGAGTTTCAGTATTGAAAAGAAAAGGGGGAAGGGAAGAGAGGGAAACAGAGACTAAGTGTGGAAAGCCTGACGGTTCGGTTATGGCTCCGCTCGTCCGTCCACTTTTGCGAACGGGCCTGGAGACCCCCGCCCCACCCCCAGCGCCCTCTCTTCCTCTCACTCTCCGCCTTTGACTCTCCTCTCTCGCATTTTCTTGGCGGCTTCACAGGCTTCGCTCTTCTAAGCCCTGTCCTCTGGCCACTCTGACCCTCTCCGAGGCTCTTCCTCTCTCTCTCTCTCTCTCTTCTCCTCTTTCCCTCCGGGCCTGACAGTTCGGATGAAGCTCTCAAAGGTAATAAAACATTTGCATCACTCCCTACCCCTCTTTAGCAGGGGGATGGAAGGGAGGGGGATGTGGGGGGCCAAAATGAGAACTTTGAGGGACGTCACTTGCAGGCGGCCGGGAGGGGCGGAGCCGAGGAACGGGGCGCAGGCCGGGGGCGTAACCACCTCCTCCAATACCGCGCAGCCTGGAGCCTCGCGTCGCCTCTGGGGCACGCCCACTTGGGAGCGCCGCGCTCTCTGATTGGCTGAGGCCGGCGAGCCGTAGGGCCGCTCCCGCCTAGTTCCCTCCTCCTGCCCCCTCCTTCCTCCTGTGGGCGGTGCCAGGAGAGGCGGGGCCTGGCCAATGCTGCGGTTCCACGGTGGGGCCCTTGGCCGCCTCAATTAATTGTGTTAAATAAAATGGGAAAGAGGAGGGGGAAGGAGAGAAGAAGAGGATATTACTTTTTAAAGAGAAGAATAATGAAAACCCAGCCCTTTTATGGAAAAGCAGTTCATATTCTTTCCTTGCTTCCCCCCGCGCCCGCTCGCGTCATCCTACCCGCTTCCCCCACCAGCTCTCGGCGCCTCACCTCGAACCGAGTTTGGTCCCTTGTAAAATGGAGCTAATGGAGCAGGCAGCCGGCACAGCCCTGGCCTGGCTCCTTCTTTTGAAGGGATTAATTAAAGGCCATCTGGGCTCTCCCACAATTGTGTAAATTAATTTGTTGTTCCTTAAGCCTATAGATGTCCTTAATCCCCTTGTAGGCCGAAAGATCGTCCTCTCCCGTCTTTCCACCTCCCGCTTTCCTTCTCTGTTCTTTCTCTACTTTTCTTTTCCTTTCGGGGTCTCCCGTGATCGTTATCATTTGTGGGTTTGCTGAGTTTGCTGGGAACGGAATCAGCTTAATGGAAATATGTATGTCATGTGGTGTTTAGACCCGAGAGCACTGAGCTTCTTTTTTAAAAACCCTTCTCCCCTTTAATTACTATTATTTGTTTTGGTTTTACATGTGGGTAGAATCACCAAAATTCAGGCGAAGACTAGATACACAGGTATCTGGGTATCCCCAGAGACTGTAAACTTTTGAAAACCCTTTCCAAACTCTGGCCCCTGCTCTCAACTCCAGGGTTGTTTCCGGAGATGGAGATGTCCCGTCTTCTGGGCTGTGGAGTGGGCATGTGTAGGGTTTAGGAGTTGAACGGTCCTTTCCTTTATTCCCACTGAATCTCTTCTATCTCTGGCCGGTCATTAAGTTCCCAGCAAAGTTGAACTGTTCCTGAGGAGGAAAACCCTCGCACAATTTTGAAAATTCAGTATGTTAAAGTAATACACCCTTGGGGGGGGGGTGTTCATTACAATAATTTGGGTGGGATCACTAAGTCCAAACTTAATGCGCAGAAAATGGAAATAAATAGCTCAAGAATGAAATTTGAGCAGTACCATCAATGTACGGAGTTTGGGTGCCAAAGTGCTCATAAGGGTCCAAGCACCAAAAGCAGGAAGGACTCCGCTTCGATAACATTCGTTTCCAAAGCACTAGTCTCTTAAGGGTGATAGTTTGAGTTTCAGATTGGGGGGGGGGGGGGGTTCCCTTTTGGGGGGGGGGGGGTGTTTCCCTTTTGCCGCTTTAATTCGCTTCTGAGATAGAAGTAATGTTATTTGGTCCTCCTCTTCCTTCTCCACACTTCATTAACTTTGAGAGTGGATTAAATCCATCATTTCACAAACTTTAGAATCTGACCTGGGGGAACGTGAAGTCCTTCGTTAACGTGAATTATGCTAAAGAGTCGGGCCAAGACTCTCGCCTGAGAGGAGAGCTGATGTGGGGACTGTGTCTCCCCGCGGGGGTCCTCTGCAGGGGTCTAAAGCCCAGCGCCCTGCAGCCTCAGCCCGGAGGCGCGGGAGGGGCGTGGCGGGAAGAGCTGGGCTCTGGCCCAGAGCTACGGCCCCTATGCCTCTAGCTTCGTCGCAAACGAAACTTTTTCTCGCCTCCGGACACCGTCCCGGCTATGGCACTAAACCTCCTTCCTGGACCCTGCTCCTGGGCCTCCGAGAGACCTCCTCACCATCCTCCTGGACACTGCATTCCCAAGGGCTAGGTAGGAATTGACAGGAAAAGAGGCTAACGAGGGGGGGGGGGTCAACTCAACCCAACTCGGGGTTAACTGCCATCGGTAAATAGTGGCAAAGCCGGGTGTGTAAAGAAGTCACCGTTGGCATTCATGTATCATTCACACTGCCGAGTTAAAATAGCAGCATTGTCCTTAATTATGACAATAAAAAAATTACGGGGTCTGTGTTCCTCGATCCCGGGGGTGAGCCCGGGTGCCTAAATCCCGCGTGGGGCAGCGTGCATTCCAGACCAACACCGCACGGCGCCGGAGGCCAGGCCGGTGCCTCTTGCCAGGTGCTGCTTGTCGTGGATCTGCTGGGTCTGTCTCCAGCTGGGAGCTGAGAGAACGAGGGAACGTCCTCAGACGGAGTGGGCTGCCCCTGTCGTGGGGAGAGATCGCCCTGCCCCCGAATCCAACTGCAGTGTTAAAACTACCTTCAGGACCGAGTGCTGGACAAGCTGACGCTGATGCGGGAGGCCCGTTTCTGGGGATAGTCTTACTCACGGCTTTCAAATGCCCTTGAGAGTCAGAGTAAGGACTTGCTCTCCCTTGGGATCCGCGACCCCCCAGCCCCCCGGACCTGACGCCTTCCAGCTCTGCGACCTAATAAACTCAGACTATGCCTTGCACCCGCCAGGAGTGGAACGTGGAACGTGGTCGCAACGATCTCCGCTCATGTCTACACAGGGTATACACATGGGGGGGTGGTGAGGGAGGACTGTGCTTGAAAGGGAATGATTTGCATTTTAATTGAAAAATAAATGAAAGCAGTTTTGCCAATTCTGAGGTGGCAAAAAGGGCTAAAAGACTAGAGATGAGAGAGGAGACGCGCCCTCTCGACTTTGAGCCTCAAAAACAACCGAGTCTGTTCTCAGGTTACTTTTTTCAGCCGACTCCTATGTTCCGTAGCCTGCACCGTCCCCTTCACTTGCCTACCCTCGGTCTAACTTTTGACTCAGAAACATGGAGCGCTTTTTGATGCTTCTATTTTAAGTGAAAGGAACAACCACTAAATTCAGGGTAACTCACGGAAAGAATGCAGATGAAACGTCAGCTAAATGTACTTACATTGAGCAATAGGGGAGAGACGAGGACGGTTCTGCCCCAAGTATGGTTATATCAAACGCCGGGATGCTGAAGTGTAGCCGCAGAAAGTCCATTTCTGTACTCACAAAAGGAGGGGCGCGGGGAGGATGAAGAGATTTGTGTGTTTCAGGCCAAAAACCTCTCTAAAATGTGTTTGCTTCAATTGTCTGGATGATTTCAATAAACCCATTTCGCCCAGCGAGTGGGGCCTGTCTGGGCTGAACCTAAGACGGATGGGTTTCAGTGAATGTTATAAAGGGGCTGAACTGGCGGCTACCTAGAAATACGAGGAAGACAGAAGAATGTCCCCAGTTTCAGAGAAGCAGAACAGGGGAAAAGAGAGAGCGCATCTGTCTGTCTCTCTTTGCTGCCTGTAAACGCTGAGGGATGGGAACTGGACCTTTGACGGCTACTTCTGCTGCCCTGGAATTAAGGAGACGACTTGGGAAGGATTGAGGTAGAGGGGCCAACAAACGCCCAAGAGCGCTGTAGGATCCTGCGGTCGGCGCTCTCTCCGTGGAGGCCAACATCAAACGAGTGGGAAGTGACGGGTGTAGACAGCCTCATCTGTTCTACTACGGAAAGATCCCGAACCAGGACCTGCCTCAGGGATCTTCGCAGTGAGAACATTGCACCCCTGACGTAAGGTTGCAAAATAGTACATGAGTTCGCTTGAGGGTAAAGTGCACTCAAAAGGGAGGGTTCTGAAAGGTCCAAGAATATGGAAAACACTCAAGTCCAGAAATATCTACAATACCAGAATCTGTGTTCAGGAATGAGAGCAAATGCAAGAAAACACCGAT